GCCCGTCCCGTCCCGCTCGGAGCGCCCCGCGGCTAGCGGCACTCCCGGCAGCCACCCCTGGCCCCTGCGCTTGCTGCCTTATCTCACCCCACTCTACGGGCAGGCTCAAGGAGAGGAGCGTCATGAGGAAAAGGAGGCCCTTAGAGGGTCAGGAAGTGGCTTACAGAAGGCCATGCTGGGTAGCGACTCATGGGTCAGATGGTGAGCGGGATAAGGAGGAAGAGGAACATCTGGGGCATGAGGAGGTCCACGGAGTCCAGATCTCTCCAGGACGCCACCAACTCCAACTCCGAAAGCCGGTGGCAATCTGGCCACTCCTGCTTGGGAAAAGTTGACCCACACATCCTTCTCTCAGGCAGTGTCATGGGTCCCCACAGCCAGGGCTGAGGACCCCACTCCAGGAGTGGGATGTGGAGGGGACAGGTGGCTCCCCCCACCCCACATCCAGCCACTCTGGGGAGCCTCTCCCCCCATAGCCAGGAGATAATCAATGCTGGAACAACAATGGACCCCTCTCTAACTGCACCCCCCAGGTCAGGCCTCCCCTTCAGGGCCACTCAAACTACCTGGTCTACTGAATCCTCTTCTTAGGACAAAGGAAGGGTCTGCATAGCTGCCTCCTAATCAGACACACCTGAGCTTGAGTCCCAGGCCTGTTACCAGCCAGGTGAGCCAGGCAAGGCCCTCCCCCTCCAAAGCCAATAGCAGAGCCCAGCCTGTGGCCGGTCACTACTCTGTCGGTCTGCCCTCCCCACATCCCCTCCTCCTTTGCCACCTGTTAATCTGGACACTCCATCTCCTATGGCATGGGATTTGAAGAAAGAGTAACCTGGAAATCAGTGAGACCTGGGTGTGCTTCTTGGACCCACCTTTCTGGGGCCCCAGCTAGATGGGGACTGTGTTCCTAGTACCCAGGACAGGGACCGAGGGGCAGCCAATATTAGAAGGAAAGGTAACTAAATGTACCAGCATGCTTGGTCAGACAACGCCACCTCCTGGCAGCAGTGCTGGGCTGGAGAGGCCCGGGGCGGACCTGGCCCTCACCAGCACCTCATGGAGGGGTGCACTGAGCCTTGTGACAGTGGGTCACCACCCAGGACACCCTCAGAGGAACTTAGGCCCTTACCTGAGTAGACTTTCCTGTGTCGGTTTTCTGGATAAAACAAAAGTGGGGGCAGGCAGGCATTGTCAGGATGATTTTGGTCAGTTTGAAGTGTTTATGTTTAATCTTGCTTCCTAACCCCACAACCACATAAGTGCAGTGAATTTGGGGAGGCAGGAGACCTGGACTGTTTCCTCATCAGTGAAATGGGATGAGTCTTCTGAGACTCCTGGGAGTCTGTAGATGGCAGGGTTGGGGTCTTGTTGGGAGGCAGGGGGAAGGTGGGGAGAATGCTGGGTCACAACTCTGCTGCCCAGGAGGCTGGAATCCCAGTCCCACACCCACCTTCTTCCACGGGCTTCTCAGCAACTTGAGACTGTTCTTGGCCCTCAGGTTTGGTGACCACCATAGATGTGAGAGGTGTGACAAAGCTGTAGCTGAGTGACAAGTTCAGAGCTCGGGTCTTGAGGGCCTGCCGTTCAGCATCTGATGCAGAAACACTGTAGGTTGAGGACATTGGGGTTCAGGAGGTCGGTGGATGCCTGATTAGGTTTTCCTTTCCATCTGGCCCCTTCTGGGGGGGTCCCCCTAGGAGAGTCTGGAGCTCAGATGTGATACCAAGACCCTCCTTTCTCCATGCTTAGGAAATGCCCCATGCCAGCTCTGCCTGCCCCACCAGAGAAAGGCTTGGGGGGGGGTACTAATGTTGCATGTGGCCCACCCCAGTGGCCCATGAGGGTCAGGGCCACTCACCTGTGCTCCAGCAGTTGCTGGATGGTCAGGTATGCCCAGAGTCTCTCCATGAAGTTGTGGAAGATGTACTTGGGGCTCCGGAACTCCTCCTCCTGCTCTGCCACACTGGACTCCGTTTGGAAAGTGATGTTCTGTTTATGCTGGAAAGAGGGGTCCAACCAGGGCAGGAGTAATGAGGGCCTGAGATCCTGCCCCTGCTGGAACCAGCCTCCTGCAGCTCTCACCTAGAGTTTCCCAAAGCTCCGGCATGCGGGGGCCACCAGCATGAATTTTGCCCTATCCACACATATAGTTATTTATTTGATGTTTTTCCTAATGTGAACTTTAAATAAACTAACACTTTTGACCTGGCCTTATCCCAAGCAATAATATATGTAAAATCATAGGTCTGAGGTATGAGTCAAATTTTGCAGGATACACATGGAAATAAATACGTAAGCTGGCCAGTTAGCTCTACTGGTGAGAGCGTGGTGCTGATAACACCAAAGTCCAGGGTTCGGTCCCTGAACCAGCCAGCAAAAATAAATAAACTAAAATAAAATAAATATATAACTACTAAAACAAACACACATCTATCTGTGAACTACCCTGAGTCACCTTGGGTTCGGCACTGTGGGAACCCCTGGGCTCCAGGCTGTATTAGTACCTACATGTATGGAGTGCTTTCACTGGACCAGAAACTACTCCCACAGTGACTTTATGAGGTGGGCACATGACTCATTCCCATTTTTACACAGGAGGAAACTGAGGCACAGGGAAGTTAAGTGACTTCCCCATGTCTCACCTCTGAGTGGTGGCAGAGGTGGGTTTGAAGCGGGCAGACTGGCCACGTGGCCTGCACCAACAGCTGTGATTTGGCTACTTATCCTGAAACCAGGCCCTGGGTTCCCCATACACATTGCCTTCTCCCCACACATGCTGCCATCCTGTGACAAAAGCCTGGAACATTCCTCCATCGCTTCACCATCTGGGCTCTGCCACCTACTTATCCCTTAGTCTCAGCTGCGCCTTCTCCAGGAAGTCCTTCCCTGATCCCCAGGCCAGGTGCTACTCCTAGTGCTACTCTCCTGAGCGCCTGGGTCTGATCTGTCGGGGACATCCCAGCCTGTAGCTCTTTGTGTGATGATGTATCCAAAGGTTGTCTCTCCCGTGACGACAGGGAAGAGTTGGCCTTGTTCAACACTGGATTCCTGGGACATAAAGAAGGACCTGGCTCAGAGCAGGTGCTCAGTTTCTTTTCGTGGGATGACCAGGACACCCTGGGAGGATGCAGCCCAGGAAGAACCTCACACACGCGGAGGCAGAGAAGGCTGGGCAAGGCCAGGGTGCCACGTGGGGAGTACGGCTCATGCCCCAGCTTCAGTGGGGCCCAGGGTGAGTTGCCTGCCCTACCTGGAGCGCGATCTGCTTAGCTGTGAAGTGGGAGCAGCCCTTCTTGCCCAACTGCAACCTCAGAGGGCTGGTAGGAGGCCAGGAGGGGATGACAACCCTTCCACAACCCTGTCACCTTGTGCTCACAGGCCCAGCAGCGGCACAGATGCCTGCTGAGTGCCCGCGCGTGTGAAGCACAGCACAGGTGCTCCATGGGAATCACCACATTCTCACTGAGTCTCTTCTATGGACCCATGCAGCAGGGACTGGGGTCATCCACAGGGGGTAGAGCGGAAACCCGAGGCTCAGGGCACTTTGGGACTTGTTCACAGCCAATCAGCTGGAGCTTGGCAGGTCTGGGATTTGAACCTGGCCTCTCTGGCTGCAAAGGTGGAGGCTGGCCCAGCTGCTCTTCCCCTACAGGGTAGCTTGGCCACACTCACCATGTGCCCGATGACTTTGGCTGAGAGCGTATCAGGGCTCTGGTCCCGGAGCTTCCCAGCCACTACCATCTCTGAGCCCTTGAAGAGGAGCCGGAAGTTGTCCTGCGTGACCTCCTCCACAGCGTTGCTCGGGTACTCAAAGGCCACCGCCTCCAGCAGTGGGTTGGCCACCTCCTGGTAGAAGTCCTGCAGGGGGGCAGGGGTGTCATGAAGGCTGGGCTGGGGTCTGCCTGCCTCTCTGTGCAGCCCACCCAGGACACAATGGCACCTGGAGCTGCAGGGCGGAGTCTGAGTCCTCATAAATGCGCCGAGCCAGGCCACCGTTGTCCAGCGCCATCTTCTCCAGGAAGGTGTAGCTGACATCAAAGCCGAAGCCCAGGCAGAAGAGGCTGTACTTGTCACCTATGGCTTTCTGCACATTCTTCTGGATCTTCGTGGAGTTGGTCTCCCCTGGACCAATGGGTTTGGAAAGAGGGTGAGAAAACAGTAATTTGCTCAGTGGATATTTCTGGAACCTCAGAGCTGGAGGGGTTCACTGACCCCCTTCCCTGCCCCAGGTCCCACAGCAAGCCTGGGTGCAGCCCATTACTTCCCCTGTGCAGCGTGCCCTGGAGTGGCAGCAGTGCCCTCACCCACGGTGGGGTCGCCGTCAGTGAGCAGGATGATAAGTGAGACGCTCCCCGCGGGCAGCAGCTCATTCCGGTTGTCATTGTCCAGCAGCTTCACGGCCATCAGCATCGCGTCATTGATATTGGTCCCTGAATGGCATAAACTCTCAAGGTGGCTCCCAGGGGGGTACCCTGGAAGCCCACACCCTGCAGGGTGGCAGAAGCACTCACCTCCCAGGGCCTTGATGCTGGCCGCATAGCTCCTGGCCTCGTTCACGTTCTCGGCTGAGGCTGGCACCAGTGATGGCCTCCACTGGGTTGCCTCCATGCTGAAGACGATGAGGTTGAACTGGTCTTTGGGACTAAGGTCATCCAGAATCTTGATTAGGGCTTCTCGGGTCTAGTCAGAGGGAAAGTGGAAAGCAGGGGTGGTTAAGAGGGGTTCCCTGAGTTGTGAGCCCTTGGGCTGGCATCCCTGGACTCATGTCTGGGGTGGTGACACACTCAAGGGGCAGGGGCTACCCCATGCTCTGGCCAATCTCTGCCTCTGAAAGCCCCCACCCAGGAAGATGAGGAGGGTCTGCCTGCTGGACCAGAGCTGATGGTGTGAGGGGCCTGGGAGTCTCCAGGGCCCCTCTCTGGCCCACCGGACCCACCTGCTCGATTTTCCTGCCACTCATGGAGCCGCTCTTGTCAATGACAAAGACCACATTCTTGGGCATTGTGGGCAGGCCTTCTGGGGCAAAGTAGTGCACAAAGTAGCCGTTCTCAATCTGTAGCCAGAGTGAGACCACACCCAGGTGATCAGAACTACAGCCCTGCCCCCGCCCAGCCTCCTCCCCCCAAGTCCTTGGGTTCCTACATACACTCTCCTTGTTCCAACCCCCCCATTTCCATCCCACTGCTAACCTCCCCAAATCCTCATCATTTTTCAGGGTCAGGCTCTCTTGCAGAAGCCTTCCTTGCTCATGCATGGCCCACTAGAACTGTCCCCCCAATTTTACCTCCTATTTTAATATTTAAGGCAGCTTATACTGAAAGGTACAGACATAATAAACCTGACATCCATCAAGATGAAAGACTTTAAAAACAAGGAATAAAGGGGAAATATAATGATGCCAAAAACTTGTGTGAAAGAAACTACTGCAATTGAGCATAAAGCTCAGCTGCAAACTTCCTGGCTGCAAAGGCAAAGAGGGAAACCCCATAGAGCAGCTCTTCACAGAGAAACCTTCTCTGCTTCTGAAAGGGAATAGTTTCAGGAACAACAAAACTAAACCACCTATTGTCTGTCGGTGTCGGCCCCTGGTGCACCCAGCTAAGTAGGGGTGGCTATTTTTATCTTTTTCTAGAACACCCAAGTTAGGCCCTTGAGGATGGACAGATTTTCAGGATGCCCTGATCTTGCCTGGAGTTCACCCACCTGAATGGAGCCCCCGGAGAGGGTCCGGTTCACATCATAGCGGATGATCAAGTTGCCATCTAGGACTGTGTCCTGCTTCTCTGGAGACTTTTGCTGCTGGGAGAGCGTTGGCTTGAACTGGATATGAGCCTAGAGGAACAGCCCGGGCTGAAGTTGGGAGGAGCAGCAAGGCCATGCCAACAACACCCTCCATCCCAGCCTATATACTGGGAAGTCAGAATTTCAGGATGCAGCCGTGGGTCAATATTCCAGGGAATTTCTTTCAGGCTGAACTATTGTGGACTGCTTCTATACAGGGGAGGGAGTGTGAGAGTGAATCCACTGTTCCTGGAGATGTGCAGGCAGAGGCTGGGCTCAGGATACATGCGATCCAGCTATCTCCTCTCCACCTGGTCCCAAGACCCTCACATCAGTCTGCTCTCCAAGCCCTTCCCCCACAGATCTCAGGGTTTACATGAGGACCCACCATCCCTCTCCAGGCCTTGTCCTTCTCATCAGCCAAATGACAGCATGGACAGAGATCTCAGAAGTACCTCCCACTCAGAGAGTCTGCCCAACTGTCCTGCTCTCTGGAAAAAGGCCCTCTGGTGCCCTCACCCGCTGGCCACAGCAGGCCCACCTTGGTCTTGTTCTGTGAGGTGGTGAGGGCCTTTTCTAGCTCGTTGGTCACAAAGGTGCTCTCTGTCTCCAGGAAACTGATGCCCTGGGGCTCGAAGATGTGAATGTCCATCTGGAGGCAAGACGTAGGTCACTGGGTCAGCCAGGAGCCTGGGCTGGGCTTTACAGGAGGCTGAGGGACAAGGAGGAGCTGCTCTCATCAGGGCAGGGGCCACCCAGGAGGCCTCCTGGGAAGAGGCAGTGTCAGGTACCTGCAGGTGCTTGACCAGCTGCTGGGGATGCACTTTCAGCAGTAGCTCATACACCCCCAGATGCCGCTTGAGCAGCTCCTCATACACCAGCTCAAAGGTGACCTTGGCAGCCGGAGCCACACTGACTGACACTTGGAACTGCTCTGTCTTTCTCCCAGTGGCCCTGGGGGAGGAGGGCATCAGTCCTGCTCCTCCAGACCAGGTGGGAGTAAGGCCACTGGAGGTGGGAGCAAGGCTAAGAGCTGAAGGCAGGGGCAGCATGTGCCTATGACCCCCCCCCCCACTCACTTGACAAGGCCGGCACTCTCTCCCTTGGCCACAGCCGCGTGGTACTGCTCCTGGGCTGCAGCCTTTTCCTTGATGTTCCCTGGGTAGGTCACACCATCGATGATCCTGGGCCAGGAGGGCAGGAGTTGTCAGAAGCCTGGTGGGAGGGGGCCCACTCCACTCCTGCCACCTCCAGGGAGCCTCTCTGGGACTTGATGTGCCTCTTGACACAGTGACTCCTGGTTTTGCCTGAGCCCGCCGATATTTATTATGCATCTACTGTGTACGATACCCTGCTCAGGGTGCCAGGTATGGTTGGAGACCTCTGCAAAGATCTCCCCTGAGGCGTGCACAGTATCAGTAAATGTGTGTTTTATGGAAGGGACAGGGGAGGGGCGCTTGCAGAGGAGACAGGGCTGGGTGAAATACTGCCTCTCTTCACCCTTCCAGTCTGGCCCCACATTCTAGCTTGCCCCTTCCACCTCATGGACTGTTCCCAGAGGAAGCCATTAATCACCAGCAGAGCTTTCTGGGTGCACTTGTGCCCAGCCCTGTGTCCAGCCAGGTGGGGCCAAGACTGAGGACAAGGGAGACACAGGGCTGAAGGCTCTGACCCCTTCCCCCTGTGGCTCTCTCTCTCCTCCCTCCCGCCCAGGGAGGGCACTCTGTAGGAAGGCTGGCATCTCTGGAAGTAGGTTTTGGACAACTGGTGTGGACATGCTCCTGGTGACCATCCTTTGGAGCTGAGAAAGAACTGGCCAGCTGTTTCTCTGTTAGGAAAATGACTACTCCAGAAACTCCTCATGGATTGAATAGAGACGTGTCAGGTGAACGTACACCTGCTCCATCTGGGGGTGGCGCAAAACAGGGGTGGTGTGCAGCTGGGACATCAGGACCACATGTCCCTCCTCCCTGACCTTTCTGGTTATAATTTAACCCTGGGCCAGGATAGAGCCGGTGAGTGGGCAGCAGGGCTCCTCCTCCCTAGTGGACAGTTCTCAGATTCTCTCCAGAAGCCCAGCTGGGACTCCTGGCCAGGTCAGGGAGCAGGGAACCCTGCCCAGTGCTTCCCTGTCTCATGCAGCAACAAGACCCGGGTCCAGAGAGGGGTGGTACCAGTCAAGGGCTCTCAGCAGATACGATGGGCTGGGACCTGGCAACCTGCCAGCCCTGGCACCCTTGTTGGAGGCTGGCATAGCCTGTGAGAGTCACGCTGCAAGTTGGGCAGGACAGGACTGGGCCCCAGGGTTGCGAAAAGTGGGGGCTGCTGTAGAGTGGGGGGATGTGCAGTGAGAGAGGGAGGAGCCAACCACAGGGACCCCAGTCTCCACTGCAGTTTTCCAGAGGCCGCAGAGCACACCAGGGACTCCGCCTGAGAGACACTCGCTCTGCCCCACCCACTGCCCTCCCTGTTTCTGGGAGCAGCCTCTCCCCTGTTCTCAATCACTGCGTCTCCGGGGGGCAAGGGACAGACAGAGAGTTCTGTTGCATTTAGTAAACATTGCAAAACCGAGTCAGGAAGAGTGGGGGAGGGTGGCAGAGGACTAAGTATTGTCACCCCACAGAGTCCACAGAAACCCCAGGCATCTTCTCATGTGGCCAGAGCAGAAATGCACTTGCAGTATCCTAGTTTGGGGGTGTGACAAGGGGACCCCTCCTCAAGGCAACTCTCCATTGTAGGGCAGCCCAGGAGGTTAGGAAGTTTTCTGTATTCTCAGCTGGAATCTGCTTTTTGGTGGCTCCCTCCTGCCTGGGTCTGGCCTCAGGATGCCCAAGTTTGTGCTCCTCAAAGCAGAGACACAGATGCTGTGGTTCTCTGCCTGCCACCTAGGCAGCAC